ATCAACATTGGCTTCAATTTTGACATCCAGGAATTCAACCCATCTTTTAATTATATGTGCAGTTTCATTTTTTTTGTCCCTTTTTTAGTTTTAATAAGAGACAAAAAAAAAGATTTTTGCTCATTTTCAGTTCAGATTTCAGCTCTTCAGGATTGTGTTACGTGTTGGTTTGACGAGGATGATTGGTCAAATCCTTTTAAATTTCCTCTTGTTTTTAAGATGAAGGTAGGTACTCAGTACAAGGCTGTACTTCCTTTTCATCATTGACAGTTACTACATTAACAATCTGTCTGAATAAGTAATTTGAAAATGAAATTTACCTTGTGGTTTTTTCAGATATTACATATAACTATGTTTATAGGTACTGCTTTAAATGGAGCAAGGGTGTGTGAAAACATTTGACGTTTTAACCTTAACGAGTCATCTGTCTGCGTAGCATCTGTTATAAAACAAACGCCTTTGTCATACCACACTGGCTTTAGTTGATTAAACCTTGGATGTATTGAATTCATCAAGGTTCACTGTTTGTTGCAGGAAATTGTTATTTGTGAAAAGATGTTGTTTTGCAGCCCTGTCTTTTATAAGAAGTGGCACACCGAAGAGACAAAAAATGTCTTTTGTTTGTCTGAAAGTTGTTTCCAGACTATTTCAGCCAACTTCACAGCAAAAGAGATTTTAGAATCAGTGGGGTCAAATGTCAGAAAGCTGAAAATTGGTGCAGAGTTTTCAGTTTGAGGCAAAAAAACATACTTTTTTGGATGTGTGTTATAACTTAAAGAAATGTCGGGAAAGGATGGATTTGGTCTGAACAGTTTCAAAATCAGAAGTTGTTTTATTACAAATGAGGTGGATTTTGCGTATTCAGCACTTTCAGCTGATGTAATCCAGAAGCAGCAATAAATCAAACTTTTGATGTTAAATGTTTTGCTTCAAATCTTGCTCTCTGTGGAGTTTTTGCTTCCGTGAATCATTCTGAGCCACACCACCTGTCCGTTCGCTCCTCTGTGACTTTCAGCCTGTGACTGAAGCCATTTGAGTGAAAAGCATCCTCCGTGATCTTTCGGCACTCGCGAAGGCCACAGGCACACCACCCACTCCCGACGCATCCTCCCGGGGCTGGTTGCTTAGCAACGCCGGCTGATTGGGTTAGCAGGGTTAAGGAAGGGTCTGGCATGGGCCGGAGGAATCAGATCACTTCCATTGATCATCTTCTCTCTGCGCCCTCCGCTGAGACCGCCGCTGCAAAATCAAAGCCGTGCCTTCATGTCTGAGTGGGGGTTATAACACACACACACACACACACACACACACACACACACACACACACACACACACACACACACACACACACACACACACACACACACACACACACACACACACACACACACAAGGAAACAGACCAAGTCTTTGTGTGAACGCACAGCCAAACATCTCATACAGCAGCTACTCAGCTGAACTTGATGTAATTTCAAGAGGGAGGAAGTGTCCAGATGAGCATTTAATGTCTGAAGGCTTCGCTAACTGATGGCCTGCTATCAGATATCATAAAACACGAAGATCTGTTTCATGTTTGTAATTGAGAATGACTCGTGTGTAAAAAGGTGGGGAAAGGAAAGATGGTGGAGGTCCACAAGGGGGGTGGTGGTTCTCTAAATGCAACCTTCAGCACCCATGAGAGTTTGGCTCTCATCAGGAGGCAGAAACATCTCCCTTTAGACCATAAAGACATTATTATTATTATTATTATTTATTTATTTTATTATTTATTTATTTTATTATTATTATTGTTGTTGTTATTATTACACAATCATAATTTGTATACCTTCTTGTTTGTTCTTTTATCGCAGCATGACTCGGTCATCTGTTGATGAAAGAAGTGTCATTAAAAGTTTTGCTCTCATACAAATGTTGTTTCTAGGGCAGGAAAGAAAGCAAATGTGGGTGCAAATGCAAAGCAATCAGTTTTGCAAGACTCACAGCACAGATTTGACAAGGCAGCTTTATTTGTATAGCACGTTATATCGTACAATTCAGTGTTCTTTCCATCAGTAAGATCAGCACAATAAATTACACAAATAAAATTAGATCAAATAAAAAATCAAAATAAAGTTCAGATTTAAGAATCAGAAAATAACACCAATTTAAAGGGTGAGCAGTTGTAGTTGCAGTGCAGAAGGTGTGGAATAAGGAAATGGTAAATGGTCTGTATTTGTATATCGCATTCTTAGGGTTCTATAGCACCCCAACCCCCCACCCCCCCCCCCCCCCCCCCACCCCCAAGGCTTCACACAACACATTTAGTCATTCACCTATTGATGAGGATGAGGTGTGGTGCAGCCACAGCTGTCCTGGGGCGCACTGACAGAGGTGGGGCCTGCCAACACGGGCGCCACCGGTCCCTCCGACCTCCACCAGCAGGCAAGGTGTGTTGCCCAAGCACACAACAGCAGCATTCTCTGGTGGCAGCTGGGATCAAACATGCAAATTACTGGACAACTAGTAACCAACTGGTCAAAGGCTGATGAATACGTGAACGTTTTCAATTTTGATTTAAAGGTTACTTGAGCTAGGGCAGAGTTTAGGTCTTGAGGAGCTGATTCCATCTGTGTGCAGCAGCTAGTAGCTAAAAGCAGCTTTACCCTGTTTGGTTCTGATCCAAGGTTCTACCAGCTGACTACTTCCTAAAGCCTACTTTATACTTCTCCATCAGCTCCACGAGGTAGAGACACGCACGAAGACTATTTGACCATACTTCTGGGGAGAGTTACAAAGCAATTCCCCACCAGGACAACAGAGGGCGTAGCACCATTCTGGGGTATCCTGTCGTGTATACGGTCCAAGATAGTGTGTTTATATTGTGTTGGTTTGTATTTAAGAGACTTTTTAACACAGACAAATTTGTCCCTCATTCTCCTCCACCTCTTCATGTGCTCGCCACCTCTAAATCCACCTTTCCCGTCAACAAATAAAACACTTGCTGTGCATCTTTTCACTCCACCAGTCACAGGGAAATAAAACCTTCATTTTTTTTTGTTTTTCCACGAGGTATTCTGTAAGCCACTCAGTGTCTGCCGCTACATCATTGGCTCTCTTTGTGTTTTTGAGGGAGCAATGGCGGCAATGTAGACGGCAGCGACGTCCTGACCAATCGCAAGCTTGCGTTCTCCACCTCGGCGGGCGGACGTTTAGAAAAGAGAGCTCAACTCCGTCCATCCTTGCAAGGGCTCTCCAGCAGGCTTGCAAGGATGAATAATGGTACCGGTCCCGATGCAGACGGAGAAGTATTCCACCTCTTCCTGCATATCACCAAACGTTTTCAATGAAGAAGCTAGCGGTGTTATGTTCTCTTCCCTGGGAGATGGTTGGGCTCAATCACTTGTATCGTATCTTGTTGATCTGTTGATTCTAAACCAAATCAGTCAGACTGGATTTAAGATAATATCTGCAAACATTAAAACGCAGCCAAAGGTGCAGTGTTGTATTAAATTGGTGATTTTCGCTCTTTATATATATGTGTGTGTGTGTGTGTAAGCATACAGAGCGTAGATGTATTTGTTTAGAATCATATCATTGTGTATATTTGGTTGTTTCATTAAAGGACTAAAGCGTATACACCACATAAAGATATTTTTCTCTTAGCTTGAACTATTTTGGGATTTTTTTTTTTTAATAAATGAAATTATTGGTCATTTATACTCCGCTGTAAGTGGAGTACAGACTTTTTCTTCTTCACTGCATGTAGCAGCGTTGAGCCGGGCCAACTGTTCATCATAGCCTGCAGGCCGTCCTCGATGGCGGCGACTGCTGAGGACGGGGAGCGAGGTGTAAAGTGCAGCGAGGCAGTGGGTGATCCCTCCCACGTCTCGTTACTCATGCTGTCCCGAGGGGAGGCAGACACCCGGCCAACTGGTGTCACTGCTCCTCCGCCAAAACCACTGAGTCACTGTGAAAACGGGGTAGAGCCTCTGAATCCATCTTGGATTTACATGACCACCTCATCAAAGCCGTTCAAAAATTACACAAAATTTTTGTTGTTTACAAAAATTTATTCATACAAATCTTACAACACTTTTTTTAGACATTTATGGACCCTTGCAGATCTCCATCTGAAGTCTATTTTTCTTTTTTTTCCCCTCCAAACAGTAAATATATATATTCATATATGTATCTTTAAAGATTATTTCCATTTCGTAAGGCTATTGGCGCTTTTATTATCATACATGTAATATTTCATAGAGAAGCAGCTGCTACTCCGTGTTTTCACACATACACACGCGCGCGCGCACACACACACACACACACACACACACACAAACACACACACACACATACAGAAAAATAATAATCTAGTGGTCTAAAACAAAGTGCAAAAGAAAGCAGTGCAAGCAGGAATCCTCCATGTCTAAGCTAGGTGGCGATTTAGATCCTACCGATCATCGTAGCAAGACAAAGACAACAACAAAAACGAGATGAAATGTGAGCTGAAGATGTGCAGCATTGTAGGGCCACTAAATAGCCATCTGTGATTCATGGCAACTCATTTTTTCTTTTATTTTACAGTCGATGCAAGGCACCACAGCTGCAAACTGCATCCTGCGTCACAAAGCCTGGAGGAAAATGCAAAATTAAAGAAAGATTGATACAGCAAAAACAGATCGAAGAACTTAACCCTGTTTTAATTTGTTCCGTGTCCTCTGTAAAGGCTTGAGAGAAGCCGGATGAAATTTCTAAACCAGCAGCTTGGTCATCTCCCTTTTTCCTGAAATGTGATGAATGACTTCAGATTTACCTTTTGAGCCAAACTACACCTTAAAATAACCGCAGTTACAGAACTCTACAAAGTACGTTGAATTGTGAAATTCTTGCTAGCATTGAAGTACATTCTCGAATGAAGTGTAAGGTTTAACAAACAGTTTGCGTAAAAATGTCAGAACACAAAGCAACATTCAGCGATGACAGATGTGTGTGTATGTAGTCAGAAAACAAGCGAAACCAGCTGGTTGTCTGCACAGATGCGGTGGCTAGTGCAATTACTTTAATCATGCATGTCTATTGTATTTTTGTACATTGGTTCACATGACAAAAAAGGGAAGCACGATGTACCCAAAGGGTTCAAACACACCTTGTGTGTCTCTAAAAAGAAGAAACTGATGGATATGTTTCCATGTAACAAGTATCTTGGTTTTTTTGTTTGTTTTTTATTTGCCTGATAATGCTCGACATGTCTGATACTTATTATATGGCTAGAGAGACGTGTGAAAAACTCCAAACACAGAAAAACCAGTTGATACATACACAAAGATTGGCACTTTACATGATTTGAAAGGTGTAAGATCACTTTGTAAACACAGTTGAAGAGGAAAAAGGGCGTGAAAACCCTCAAAAGTACTCTGGTCCTTCACTCACATTTGAGATTTTTTCTTTTTTAAATCTTATAAGTAATAGCTTGAAACAAGGCTCTGTGGTACATTTATATGAAATATAATGGTTTTTTTCCGTTGTAGATTGCTCTTTGAGCAATGTAAATTTGGAGAAACATTTTGGACTTGACTGGTAAGCTAACGGCTAATCCAAGTGATGCTAAGAATAAAGGGCAGCTGTCTTTAAACAACTTCAATTTTAAAATACATTCAATCATTAAAACTCTAGTTTAACAGCTTCATAGCTGCTACACTCTAAATAAATGTTGAATTAATTTAATCAAGTTATGGCAACTGGTTCCACTAAACCTAGTTGTTTAAATTTAAAGAGTAATGTACATTTAATTTTAATATAACAAATTATATTACTCCTTACATTTAAGTTGGGTTTAGTGGAACCAGTTGACATAACTTAGTATTTTTAGTGTATTTTTTTTTGCACTTCTAGCATGATTATCTTAATTTTTGGCCAAAATACATTTTTAATGATACATTTATAACATGTAAAAGTTTACAACAGAGTATTTATGATTTTTCCATGAAAAGATTGAGATCTGAGCTACTTAAAAGCAACCCTGTTTGATTTTTGTCTTGATTAGCTGTTAGCTTGTGAACTTAAGCACTAATTTCTTTCACTTTTCTCACATTAACACTGTTTAAAGAGTTATCTACAACATATAAAGTTCATATTCTTGCTACAGATTTCTATTTCAAGCTATTCTTTTATTTAAAACCAGGTCAAATTAAAGCCAATCAAGGGTAACACACGTAGCGTGCTAGCCTAATTAAAATCTTACAGCCTGTGTGCATGTTTTCAGACAGTTGGAATATCAGAATTTGTGAGACTGGAGCACAGATGAGTTGGAAAAAAATGAATCTGAAGCAAGATCACAGGTGAGAAGAAAAACGGGGGGGGGGGGGGGGGGGGGTGAGAAGCCCCCTGTGAGGACACAGCCTTGGGAAAAAGCCGGAAACTCACCGCGAATTCAGGAGAAAACTGTTTCAGCCAGTCTCCCAAAAAAGCCTCAACCTCCTCACCGTCCGGGAGGGCATCAAAGTCTATCACTTGTAGGATTTGGTGAAAATCTACGTCTTCAAGGCTGTCGTGAATAAAGACAACTAAACTCTTAATGTCACTTTACAAAAAGCAGCATTTTAACGCACTGATTGTCTTTTAAACCACTCATTTTCCCACTCATGTCTGTGTCTTCGCTAACAGTTTAAAAGACAAGAGCTGTTGGAACAACAACAAGTATCTCAAATAAACACAATAATAGAAGCAATTCTGATTGTTCTAAATAAATTGGTCCACAAAGAAGATCCTCAAGTGCTTTAATTTAAAATAAAAAAACAATATTGTTATCAAAATATTAATTCAATGGCTTACTTCATACATAAATACAGGTTAAAGAACACAAAAGCGATCCACTGATTGGTCAAAATGACTTCATCTGCGCACACTGAACGTTTTGTCAGGAGAATCAAGAGGAAGATGCTACAAATATGCCAGCCGCCGTCCTTTGTTTCTAATTCTCTGTCTGTACCTTTTCCCCAGGACCGCTGCCAGGTATTTCTTGACTGCCATTTGCTTTCTGTAGCGGCTGTAGCTGTCTGTGAAGATCCCATCTGAGTGTCGCTTGGACAAAGGCTCTGAGCTGTCGTCCAATGTCTTCCCCCCGCTGTAGGGATGAAAAAGAAGAAGAAAACAACACGTTTATGGTGGTTTCTCTTCAATAACTCCCCTCTTTTCAGTGCATCTGATGAGCTGCTCTTAAAAAAAGGAGATTATTAGACAATTCATGTATTTTATTCTCATTCTGCTAAACTTTTAAGCCTCTCCACGAGGATCTGTCCGCTCTACTTCTGAGATTTGCTCCCATAAAAATGTATTTTTTTTAAATCAAGAGAGCAGTTTGCAGTCAAGCTGAGGGATTTTACAACACTCATAAAAAAGGTGCTAGATTTAGCAAAACGAGACATGTTCAGTACGTGAAACAGTGAAATATGAGCTTTTAAAGACCCAGAAGAACAGAAACAAAGACCCACAGAAGACGGGGAAACATCAGATTTCAGACAGAAAAAGAGACGAACAAGAATCTGTTCTTACCCTACACGTTTTGCCATCAGAGAATGAAGGTATTTCCTGGCTGATAACTGACCCAGCGCTTTCCTGTAGGCTTTATTAAACATGCCGTCTGCATGTCTTTCCATTCTGGGACGATAAATAGCCAGACAGTAAAAAATCACCACACACCCAGCGCAACAGGCAACAAATATCAAATCTGTCCACCTGAAGGTGATCAAATTACTTAATCTGAGTTAAAAACTTGAAATTTAAGCATGCTATTTGTATTTATGTTTTATTTTTCTTCACTTTAGGTGTTTTTTTACACTAAAATGTGTGCATGTTTGATAAGCACATTATTTCAACTGAGATGGAAGTTACAAAATAGTAGAATCGCTGGGGGTGGTGGGGGTGGGGGTGGTGGTGGTGGTGGGGGGGGTTCTTTAAGATGATAAAAGTATTTTTTGTGGGTGACGTTACATTTCAACAGGGATTGACACAAAACAAACAACACGCCACAACAGAAATACAGCAATGAGATGAGAGGAGAAAATAAATCTTTCCTTTTCTGTGGGTCTCACCTTTTCTCTGGAGGGTAGAACATTGTGAAGACATCCTCAGCGACAGATGAAGGGCTTCTCACCTCCATTTGATCTCCATCGTAATCCAGGGATGGTAAGGAGTTCCCGTCCTCATCGTAAACCTCACTGTCCAGTCTGAATAAAAGAAAATAAACACTTTTTTGTGTTTCCATCTCTCATTTGAATGATAATCTGCTCATTCAGGACAAAAACGTGTAATTTGATGCTTCCTGTTTGCACCAGTTTGATTCCTATAAATTATCCAGTCGGATAAACTGGTTGATTAATGATTTAAGGTCAGTCTGAGACTCTGCTTCATTGCCACAGCAGCCTAAATTACATTACAGCCGCTCCCTGGTGAGCAAGTCTCAGCCTTATGAATCGGCTGTCAGATGATGTTCTCCTGTAACCCAATAAGCTCTCGTTCTCCCAGATGGAACCACCTGGTCTCCAACCAGCTGCTCGGCTCTGTAAGGCCAGATTTTCAGACAAACACAGATTACAGCTGCCTACCTGAGACTCGGGAAGCTAATCCCAACAGGTGCGCTGTTGGCGCTGTGATGCATTATGATTCCATAGATGAGCAGGGCTAAAGTCGCTTTGCTGGACATGGTCCTGCTGCAAAATAAGGCAAAAAATAAACAAAATTAAAAAGGAGATGAGGGTTTTTTTGTGTTACAAGTATAATCCGTCAACTTTGGGAAGCGTTTTAACATTTACTTCATTCTAACATGGTAAAAAAGGAAAAGGAGCCACTTTTACGCTGCGTAAAAGCGCACGAAGCGCCTGTTCTTACCAGTTGCGAGACGCTGGACGCGATCTTCTGAGGACCTCAGCCGGGAGAGTGAGATAGAATCTCTACCTCAGCCTCTCTTTCTCTCTCCTTTCCCTGTCTCCTCACCTCTGTTAGTGAAGCGAGTCTTCAGTGTCCTTGAGTCTGGGGGGGAGCAGCCCTCGGTGCGCTCGCAGCTCACTTCTCCCGTTTTTTGAGTCGTTTCTAACCCCAAAGAGCTAGAAAACTTTCCTGCGTCCTGTCAACGTAACCCCCCTTTGGTGTTTTATCCATGAATCCGAAAGGCACGTCTTTTTCTCCAGTCACGGAGGGAGGGGGTGGGAGTTGGAGAGGGTCGGGGTGAGTGGGGTGGCTGCGTCATCGCCCCCCTCCCACCCGTCCCACATGAGCGCAGACATCTTCCGCGTCAATGAAAGACCTCGAGCCAACTCGTAAAAAAATATATAAATAAAAAAAAATAAAAAGATTTCAGCCATCATCATTAAATAAAGTGTGAATTAATGTCCACAGTTGACGTCATGCCATAAATGTGATCACGTGACCGACCTTCTGAGGTGCTGTGGGAAGGAAGAGAGCTGTTCAGGGCTGAAATCATTTCCGAAGGAAAAGCCGAAGTCTCCACAGAGGAAAACTTTTCATAAAAATGTTTTAAAAGTTTTATTTCTGTTTCAGTTTAGGTCAAAAAGACTGAAGTAGCACAGGGGCGGACTTAGCAGTTTGGGGGCCGAAACAAACAAAAGCATGGGGCCCCTGCAGCTACTGTCCTGGATCTTTTTCCATCCTTACTTGGAAAAAACGCAAATGCAAACAGCAACTTCTTGCTTTTCATGTGCAGCATCAACATTTACACGACTTTCAGTACTGCTCTTCAGGACTGTAAAGAAATCTATAAAATGTGGCAGTTTTTACTACAAACGTTTTATTCTCTTCCTGCTTTTTTTTACTTTTCAGAACTTTTGCATAGCTTCACTTCATTTAATCACAATTCTTTTGCTTATTACAATTTTATGACAAACTTGCTTGTCGGTCATTCACTTCCATTGCTGCGGTCCGGCAATAGTCCACTGGGTGACATGGGTGTTGAAACAAATTCACAGAAGACAATCTGGTGCCATTTAAATGAAATTCTTATTTTAGAATGACAAGGTAAGTTTATTTTGGAGGGAAAAAAATATCTTAAACATTTTCGTTAGGTGTCCCTGCAGTGTTTGGGGCCCAAAGCAATTGCCTACTTTTTTGTAATGGTAAGTCCGCCTCTGAAGTAGTGTAATAATTCAACATGACATTATTCATATTTCATGAACTTCTGCTTTTTCATTGTTTCAGCTTTATTTTTAGCCTCATCTCTGTCTTGATTACAAATGTTGTCCTGTTGTTATATTTTTAGATACATGTACAGAACTGTGCAGAAGTCTTAAATTAGTCTTTTTTATTGATCAGGCATTTTACTTTTGGCTATTTTAATGTTTGTTTCTGTTTACTCTGACCTGACAGTCATCGAGACATAACATCTATTCCTAACAAGGGATGAACCATTTTTGTGTGCAAAAAAGTACATTTTGATGCTATTTTTAGGCTTTTTCTTCCTAGTAAATCCATAAAAAAATACCAGATAATAATATTTGACAGGATGATTCTCATACTAAAAAAAAAAATTAAAACTGACATTTTGCTTAAAAACTTTTATGTAAAATTTTCACACTGAAAAATATCGAGTAGGTTGAAAGCTAAAAGCTCTTAAATATACTTCATCAATGGAGTAACTAAAGTTTGAAGAAAATAAGTTGAAATTAATAATTGTAGTTAATGCAGTAAAATTTGAGTTGATTTAACTGAATTATAAGTAAAAAATATTATGGTTACGTCAAAACCTCATAAAAGTTGACTAGATAATGCTGATGCTTATTTAAAAGTACATTAAGTAATAACTTTCTCACTGAGAGTGGCCTTGTTTGTTTTGATATGTAGACTGCAGTACCCACATTTGACCACAGGATGTCATTCTTGCTTCATGTGTCAATAATATAAAAATTAGTTCCATTTACCTCATTTTTTTACTGAACTTTATTAAACACAGACTTTTAATTTAAAATAGCATATTTTTTGTATTTCACTTTCTAAGTGAAACAAATATTAAATGTAGGTGTGTGTTTTGATTGTTATTTGAGTGAAAACCTGACACAGTATATTTATTACGGCTATTTGTTTTAGATATTTAAAAAAAATACTAAATGACCAACCTGTGTTCAAATGTAAAATTGGCAGAGGTGTGGAGTCGAGTAACATGACTTGAACTCGAGTCATTATTTTAATGACTTCTGACTTGACTTCATAAAATCTATAAAGACTTACGACTTAACTCGGACGCCAATGACTTCCGAGTTGAATCGACTTGCATCTGTTGACTTGATGATGACTTGAGCATATTTGATATTTTAACACAAAAGTGACACGACATGGACATAAATCATAAATCGTTCTTTGTTCTGGGTGTGATCTTGTTCTGCTAAATGAAGCAGCACTTTGTTTATAATCAGTTTCAGTTGCACTTTCTGTTTTTTGAGCAGATAAATGAAGCTTTAAGAAGCTTTATTTCTGGAGTTTATTTAGTATCATCATCATTAAATTGAAGTTGGACAGATAGGGTTAGGGTTAACCCTAACCCTAACCTTAGCATAGCATAGCATAGCATAGCATAGCATAGTTTCTTTATATAGCACATTTAAAATGCAGCATGGGAGCTGCCCAAAGTGCTGCACAGGCTAAAACAAAACACAACCATTACAAGGAGCTAAAACAAAGGATAAAATTCTCAATCAAAGGCAGATAAACCATGATGAATACTAAGAACACATTAAAACAATGATACAATAAAACACGAAAACGAGTCACTGTCTAAAAGCCAAAGTGTAAAAGTGGGTCTTTAAACGAGATTTAAAAACTGCCAGAGATGGAGCCTGCCGAACTCCAATTGGCAATGAGTTCCATAGCTTTGGGGCAGCATGCGCAAATGCTCGATCCCCCCGCGATTTGAGTCTCATCCGCGGCGTGTACAGCAGCAAAAGGTCAGCTGACCTCAACGTGCGGGTGGGCACATATGGAGTGAGAAGGGCAGAGAGGTAGGGAGGTGCCAGGTCATTGAGTGCTTTAAAAACAAAAGTCAGTAACTTAAACTGCACTCTGAAAATGACAGGGAGCCAGTGAAGACGTACCAGGACAGGGGTAATGTGGCTACGTCGGTGTGTACCCGTCAAGAACCTGGCAGCAGCGTTCTGAACAACCTGCAGCCGATTCAGGGCAGAGTCTGGAACACCAACGAGGAGGGCGTTTGCATAGTCCAAGCGAGAGGTAATGAAGGCATTAATGACTGACTCCAAATGCCTCAGTTTCAGGATTCGTCTGAGGTGAGTAATGACTTGATTATGACTTGAAAATTCAAAGTTAAGGACTTGGGCTTGACTTGAACTTCCACATCATAGACTTTGGACTCGACTTGGACTTGGTTGTCTTTGACTTGGACTTGACTCGAGACTTGACTGGAAAGACTTGTGACTTACTTGTGACTTGGTCACACCTCTGAAAATTGGTAAGCAAAAACAAAAGAAGCACAAACAAAAGGCAGTAAAAGAGAATGAAGTTTGGCTGTGGAAGGCAGTGCAAAAACTAAATGTGTTAATTTCAAGTTCTGTTTAAGGGCGTGCCTTTCCTATATTGTTCATCTGTTTTTTCTAGATATTTTAAGTTCTGATTTTGCATCTCTGTTCTGTCCACTTTCCCCATTTTTTTAAAAACCAAAAGCATGCAGTAACTGTCAGATTAAAGAAAAACAAGCATAAATGCAGTCAAAGTCCCCTAAAAGCTATGAGTCATTGGCTCACTGCCAGCAAACTACAGAGGGATGCGAAAGTTTGGACAGCCTTGTTAGTCTTCATGGATTTCCTGTATAGCTTGTTGCTTGTTACGATACCAATTTCAGTTAAATCAATCATATAGGAGACACAGTGAGATTTGAGAAGTGAAACAAAGTTTATAGAAGTTTATTGCAAAGTGTGCGATAGTTGTTGAGAGGGCCATTCCAGAACGTTCTACGTGTTCCTCTGCATGAACGCCTTCGTAGATGTTGAGCAGTGTTTAGGGTCGTTGTCTTGTTGAAGCATCCAGCCCCGGTGCACCCGGTGCAGCTTCAGCTTAATCACAGATTCCTGGACATTGGTCTCCAGAATCTGCTGATATTGAGTGGAATCCATGCGTCCCTCAACTTTAACTAGATTCCCAGTCCCTGCACTGGCCGCACAGCCCACAGCATGATTTACCACCACCGTGTTTTACTGTAGGTGTTGTTTTTGTAATGCTGTGTTGTTTTTCCTCCATGCATAATGTGTGTGTCTCCTTTATAATATTTCAACAGAAATTTTTATCATAACATGAAGATTAACAAGGCTGCCCAAATGTTTGCACCCGCTGTAAAAGAAACATGGCGTAGCGTGAAACCTTTGCTCTATAGAAGCCAAAGACTTTTGATTTGAAGAGTGCTCCTTTTGAGGCACCGCCAGCATGTCTGTTAGACAGGTGGTTTAATTAAACTCTGTGTGTTTAGTCTTTTCCTTTATGCCTCATTAAAATGAATGGTTGCCGTCATTATTTGAACTCTCTATAATTTGTTTGCTTGTATCTTTGTGATGACACCCATTTATGATTTTCCAGTGAGCAAACCGGAAATTTGTTCCCCATAAAAGCTGGAAAACGGGAAAAAAAGTGCAGCTACCGAATGAGCTTCCAGTGCTGAAACAAAGTTCCTATGAATATAACCCTGCACTGAAATGCTATTCTTACATATTTCTGCTTCTTCTGAAACATTTAGCCTTTTAAATGACTCACTGGGCACATTCAAGTTCCCATTTACTGGTTTTACTCAACAAGCAAAGTTGCTAACCAACTGGAAGAGCCCATTTTAGCCACAATATCATTGGCGCATACACACAACTAAAAGGTACAGAAAAAAATGTCTTTTAAATTTTTTTTGAATAAAAACTTTAAATAATGTTACCATAAAATATTGTTAGATAATAAAATATTTTGACTGTACAACATTTTATTACCTTGCATTATTGTACAACCACACATGGCACCAAGTGATTTTAAAAATGCAACAAAATAAGAATATTTGTCTTTATTTTTTTGTCGCTTGGCTGAAATCCAGTGTTGAGTTTTTCCAGGTAATTTAAAGAAGTTTTGTAAAGTTTTGCGTGACAACTGTCAGAAACAAAACAAATGTAATCCAAATCTTGT